GGTCATGAAACCTAAGTAGCAGTTTTTGACAGAGTCGTCTTGTTGCAGCCGGTCAGAAAATAATATCGTCCAAAATCCAGCATTTTAACGTGGTTAAAATACTCCGAGACTTCATTGCGCGACTATTAATATTGCAATCCTTTTACGTTTCATGAGGTCGGCCATCTACTGTATTGTGATGTAGTCGGGAGATCCTGACAAAACCCAACACTTACTGCGATCAAGCCAGGCCAATATCCAAATGAGGGGCCAAGCAGGGAACGAACAAAAAATTGATTAGCGCATATTCGACTCGTAGAGCCACCACTTCAAATTGCTGATCCATAAAATCAGTTCAGACTTTGGGAAATGACAGCAGGCCCAGCTGTCCGAAACGTCAGTTTACAAATAAACTCACTCCGGTGAGCGCAACAAGACTTTTTATTCTTATCCGATAATTCTGACTTCTGCTAACTTAAGTCAAACTATGTTCTATAGAAAACATGCATAAACGGACATTAAACTTGCATTCAAAGTTTACAACCTACATGCTATGTACATTCTATCTAAGAAAAATCGCATATTTCGCTATACTATGCAAAAGAAGTTGCATGGTTCTCATAAAGGTTTGCAATGAATTTAGATAATTTTGCGTATTTAATATGCAACATTGTAAAATTTACGGAGATGATGCTTAAAAGGAACATAAACAGGAACATTCGAAAACCAGAATGCATTCTTGCCTGAAGTATAATAATTGAAAAGACCTAACCTGCTAATAAATGGATATAGAAATGAGTATTTTCGAAGAAGTTTTCTATGAAATGTATTGAAACATATAAACGCATAGGAAAACAAAAATCATCAACCGTCAAAGTTAAGTAGCACTTTATTACAACCAGTCAGAACCAATATAGTTTAAAAGCCAGCACGTGATGGAGCAATCTTGACATTACTTAAGACGATTACCAATGTTGCAATCCTTTGTTATGTAGTTTTGCAAAAAGAAAAGAAATTCTAAAATTTTGTTGAATATTCCATGAGAGCGTACACTTATGCAACAGTATTTTAGCCGAGACAATTCCGCAATCGGTTATGGAGAGTAAAAGACGAAAATTAGCTTTGCGCACGAATTACACTCACACGTTCAGTTAAAATAGTCAGTTGCACATCAGTGTACATTATTGCTAATAACTCCCTAGGGGAAAAATAATAGTAAAGATACAGTTAACTCTTGAACTTGAGGTGATATCTCTTGCAAAAAATAGAAAATGCGTTTATTTTAGCTTCTTTGCCAAATTTACTCTTCTAGAGTTTGTGATGCAGAGACTAGAATGTACCTGACGTTCCCACAGAGGAATGCCGTTCGCAGATTCTAAGAGGACTGCTGGAGTAAAGCAAACTTTAAGAGTATAGATAGGATGGAACTAACAGTTAGGACGCTAACTTTAAAAAAAAACATTTAATACATTGAATAAACAATACGAAAAAAATACATTTGCATTTTTGACACAGGTCAGTTTGTCAATGCGCCTGTATATTGTTTTATAACCAATTCTGCGACTCACGCATGGTCAATAGAACAGTGTAACGTCAGAGCTTTTCCTGTTTCCTGCGTTTCCCAAAGTTTCAAGTATAATACCGAAGCGTCAGGAGCAATAATCTCGCTTCAAATGGGCTCCCTGTAAAGAACCCATACTGACTGCTTCGCGATTTGCAAACTTCCACTTCCACATTAAGTCACGATGCTGCACATGGCCAGATGGTAATTGATCAAGGGTCGAGGTTAATAGATGGAAATAACGTCCACCCTTTAACACAAGAGCATTCAAAATCCCAAAACGGCATCCATCTCTAGTTTAGGGCAAATTATTTTGCAAGACATTTCAAAACAACAGGTCACAAGACACTGGATAGGTTGTCTATCAATTACTTCGACACTTTGGACAATAGTGCTTGAAAGAGTCAACCATATACATAAAGACAGTTAAGATAATCCAGGTCGAACAAAAATTTAATGAAAACGGTTCCTTCGCTTATCGCGACAGGTAAGTATTTGCAGTGGAATACTGCCTACTTGTATATGAATGACGTAGGGTCACATGTTGCAATAACGTTCAGAGGCAGATAGTATAACCAGCAAAGAATAGACATGTCTGCCTTATTAGCTATTGTCAGCCAGTCACAGCCAACTCAAAGTCAAACATTATCTGATGTTCAGACTCGCCACCATGATCACAATTATAAGCCTCTAAAAATTGAGGGCGCTGTCTTGCCGGTTTACGTCAGGGGACATTGACACTGATTGATGAAATTTAAACGACCGCTAATAGAATTCACTTGTCCCGCTCCACCTTTGCTTGTAGCCTTATTTTTCTCGCTGGCTGCAGCTTTAGAAGCTATTAGTAAAAGCATATAATATTGCTGACAAGGACACATGAGAGTAGAATGGCCACATTTGGATTATTAGCTGTCTTCAGCCAG